ACACTGCTGTGCTTCAAGGTTGCTCCTCCTAAATTTCCCTATATTATTCTCTGCCTTAATCTGCTCTCTCACTCTTTTTTATCCTCCAGCTCTCTCTCTCTTCTCCTCCCTTTAACTGAATCTCTTGCTGTCCCAACCCCCAATCGCCACCTGTCCTAGCCTAAGCCCATCAAAGTTTCCTGCCAACATCCCTTCAATCCACTGCTTGCTATCTTATTTCACTTTTCCTACACCCATTATCCAATCCTATCTTGCCTCCCCAATTACTACCACCTTGTCCTCGGTGGGAAGATGGAGTTGTTACCAGACCCATCCCGCTCCTCCACTTCTTCATTGCCCTCTTCTTCTTTACCCAACTCTTCCTCATCTTTTATCATTCCCCGAAAAGGGGTCGATTTGTTGTTGATCATGGGCGTTGACCCTGAGCAAGAATGATTTTCGGTGAAGCTTCGTTGAATATGAGTCTGATTTAGGGAATGGGTATTAATCTGGCTATTAGATCTGGGTGGGTCAAATTGATTGGGTTTGGGGCTGGTCTTCAGGCCTGCAGAGACTAGAATAATTTTGTAGCCCATTATATTTGTTTTTCCCATGTTTGCTCAGCCCAATTTTAAATCTTCCCAAGCCCAATTTTTTTCGTCTATTCTTTGGGCCAACTTAATTAATTGGACTATTGAGTTGGATTGCCCAATCTTTTTTCAACCCTAATTTCAGGTTTCCCTAGTTACAACAGTAGCCCTCAAAATTTCTTCTTTCTCTTCACTTAACAAGGCTGAAACAACCTCAAACTTACTCTGATCTTCCTCCAACACTTCTACTTCTATGCTGAATAATTCATAATTTCCTCCTACCTCCGTTGATTTCCCATATTTTGGTTGTCAATAGTTCCCGTGACTATGGAACCCGATGATTCTCTCGATCTCTTCTCCTTACTTCTTATTTATCTTTCCTTCTATCCAAGCTCGTATTTCCATCAAACCATCCAGAACAACACCAATATCTCTCCCAAGTTTTGACACTTCCCTCTCAACATTTGCCATTCTAACTTCCATTCTTGTACCAAACATCCCACAACCAATCTGCTCTGATACCAATTAATGAGAACCCACTCCAAAAACTCACAAAACAGTAAATAATAACAGCCAACACCAAGAAATAGGAGAAATAGATAGTGTATGGATATTCAACAAATTGATAACAATGGTAGCAAACACAAATATAACCCACACATCAACCCAAAAGGAAAATCAAAACATGAAAAGAAAAACAATGCTGGACTTCAAGGTCACTCCTCCCTAATTGCTAACTTCAAGGTTTAGCTCCTCCCAAATTTCCCTATATCTTCTCTGCCCTAATATGCTCTCTCCCTCTCTTTTTATCCTCCAGCTCTCTCCCCTCTTTTTATCCTCCAGCTCTCTCCCTCTCTCTCCCAACTGAATTCTCTTGCTATCCCACCCCCAATCGCCACCTGTCCTAGCCTAGCCCATGGAAGTTTCCTGCCAACATCCCTTCATCCACTGCTTGCTATCTTATTTCACTTTTCCTACACCCTCATTATCCAGGTCCCATCAGAAACACACAAGACTAAAGCAATTACTTAATGACAGTAGCTCAAGATTCTTGATGTTGAGCAAGCCCTCGGGTAAGACTCAAGATTTGGACAATTCCAAATCTCTAACTCTCTAAGATCTAGGGCCCTAAATAAGGCCAAATTCGGTAAATTTGAATCATCTTCACATAAAAAACGACAGAAGGATCTTTTGTTATCTCAGAGATGCACTGAACGATGTCAATTGACACAATTCTTATCTTTAGGTGTCTGATAGTGGAAGGTAACTTGTCCATTAGAATGAGAAGAGTGAAGAACAACCTTCTATCAACAAGATTTAATGGACACCTTTTTGTTCCATCAATACCTTGAGTACTAATTCTGAATTTGGGCAATTCATGAGGTTCAATTTTTTAAGAGTGAGAGGAAAATATTCTTGGATTGAGCAAGAGAAAGAAACAACTATTGACTCCAAAGGCTCAAGAAGGTGAGTTTCCATCCGGTGAAGATGGAGAACAAGATCGGGACATTTACTGATCTTAAGTTTTTTAAGACAGTACCAAATGGCTGTATTCTAGCAAGTATGCCAAAGAGGAATTGCTATTGATTTCAAGAATTCAAGATTCTCACATGTTGGGAGATTGTATATCAAAATCTAGTGGCCAGACACCATGGGTCAATAGGCAACGCACAAATTTTCCCTTTTCCAAGATCATAGGGTATTCCAAGTTTTCTGTTCTACATGACAAAAAATAAAAAAAAATTAGAAACTGCAAATATATGAATTTATATATTAAAGAATGAAAAACTAAGTTTTATTCTCAATTGGGTATTTAACAAGTGCCCCGCTATTAGGCTAAGAATGAATCATGTAAACACATAGGAGAAATATGAATTTGAAGAACAGAAACAAGATGGGCATAAAACATTAGACAATACCAAATTCTTGCGAAAGTCTACAGTGAAATTTGCCTTCACCTCAATTGGTGCATTTACTCTTGGCTTCAGTCGTTGAAGGCATCTAATCCATTTCCATGAACACCCAAAGAGTTATGATTCAGTATGGCATAACAGAAGTACAAAGATATAACCAGTCTACCAGATAATATAAAAGAAAGCCAAAGAATGACTATTACCTAAGTCTAAATCCACAAGCCAGCGACCACCTCGTATGGACTTCTTGGGAATCATTCAATTACCCTGGCCCCTCATTTGGTGTAACAGTTAGGTGAGACTATGCTATTTTCTTTTTTTTTTTTTTCTTTTTTCTTTTTAATAAGAATATATGATTAAGAGCCTCAAATAACATAAAATATCCTTAACCCTAAACCTCTCAATTTCAAAATCGTAAAGTTCTCATTCTCACTTTCTCATTTCGTCCCAACAACGCAGTAACAAAAGATTACAAGAAAGTTACGACAACCCCAAATGCACCCTACCTAATAAAAATATTTTATTAAAGTCTAAATTCCCTTAACGAAAAGGAATTCTAAAAATCAGATTGATATGGTCTCAAAATTAAAACGAAATCGGGAAAACACTTCATCTACACCTATATATATCCAACGGCCACCAATATCTTCTTCACCATTCTGTCAGTGTGCTTTTAATTTGTGGTGGTATTGGCTAATTTTATGGTGGTGGCGATGGTTCTATCATGGTGATCAAATTTCTATTGTTTTGAGGAGCTACTATAAGGGTGGACGGGAATTTTTTTTTAAAAAAAATTTGGTGCTGTTGGTGGTGGGCGGTGGCGGCTAAATTTGTGGTGATGCCATTAAAGAGATGGTGTAACAGGATGCACTAGTGGGACAAGTGTTGGATCTTAGTTAGTAATACGCGTTTTATATGCGAATATACAGCCAGCTGTATATTCGCATATAAAACCGTATTTATGTACTTTTTAAATGACTGCCGAATTATTCGCAAATTATGGAACATCCGTATAATTCGTATAGAGCTGGGCTTTGACGCGGCCCAAAAGCCCAGCTCCAAAACCCGTCCTAGGACCGGTCCTTGAGGCCTGGTCCCAAAACGGGACCAGGCCTAAGGAGGAGGGCCGGGCCCTCCACTGGGCCCTCCTCCAAGGCCCGGCCTGGGACCGATCCCAGGCCTGGGCCCAAATTTTTTGTATTTTTTCAATATAGTCCCTGCCAAATTACATAAAACCCTCTATTAATTTTAAAATAATATAAATTACGAGGGTTAAAATGAAATTTTACTAATTTATAAAAAAAAACACTTCTAGGTCCAAAAAATTTATAAAATTTATAAATTTTACCCCTAAAAAATACTAAAAACCCCCTATAAATTTTGTTTTGCCCCCAAAATATAAAAAAAATTGAGGGGGAAAATAAATATCCAAGCCCTGGGACCGGTCCTGGGCCCACGGGACCAGTCCCGACCAGCCTAGGGCCTGATCCGGTCTTGGTTTTTCTCATGGGCCTGGGACCGGTCCAAGGCCCATGAGTGACTAGTCCCATTTGGGACTAGTCCCAAGGGACCAGTCCCAATGGGGCCCAGGCCTGGGCCCGCAAAGGACCGGTCCCTTGCCCACCTCTATGCGCTATAATTCACGAATTATTGCAAAAGCAAAAAAAACTTATTGAAACACGTCATTTTGGTGGGAAGAAGAAATCAGTGGGCAAAGGAAGAGATTATTCACGAATTAAACCACCTACCACGCGTCCCCACTTCTAGCGTAGCCCCTTACCGAGTACATTCCCAATGATTTCATCCACGCTTTGAATTTCAGGATTTCTTTTATACTTTTTTTCATTTGTTGATTCTGATTTGGTGGCTGATGATTTTAGTTAAAGTGTTATTTCGGAAAGGAAGGTAGGCTGGGTGGCCACTGGGGATCCGCTGGAAGTGGATGTGCTAAAGGAGGGGTGAGGGTCCATGGGTGGTTGGGCTTTGCGGAAGTGGGAAGAGCTGATGACGATTTGCGTTTTGCGGCAACTGTGTGGTGTGAGACAGTGAGAGTGAGTCGGTAGGTGCTAGTGTGAATAAGTGATTAACAAATCCTTTTATGAAATTATTTTTTTATTGATTAATCTATATTTCAGGTTGCATTGTAACACTAATCTTTTATATAGATTTTGAGACAATTTTAGTTCTTGATTTAACATAATTTAATGGATTAATGAGAAGTTAAATTTGGTTGCATTCTAAGTTTAATTATTAATAGAGTATTTATAACTAATCCATTAATTAATCTTCCATAATTTGGGTATGTCTAATATGTCGAGCTCCCTATGTTAATAAAAATTTATGAACACTGCATGTGTGATGGTTGACCAAACCACTGTATCAAAATTCTTCTCACATGGATGAACATGATTGGTGAATAAAAGAAAAGTGTTTGGATCTGATTATTATATAATTTATTTATTTATTATTTATATTATATTTTTCAAGTTTCCCTTCCTGGCTAGCTTTCTTGGTTGTTGAAACTTCTCCATTTAAAACAATCATTCGTTTACGATTCCTTATAAACAGCTAGTTTTTGGATCCAACTTCAATTATTCTATTCTTTTTTTCTTCTATTTATACTGAAGATAAAGCAAGAGAAAGGATCAAATTAACACAATGGAGAAGAGACTTTTCAGTAGTTTACTTCTCGTTGTGTTGTTTCTGGTAGGTGAGAGTCATTGCAAGAAACAGGCAGAGCAACTTGGCCATTTCTACAACGTTAAGTTGAAGGAGAATTCTGGGATTGATACGAGTCTCTTTGCGGGAATTCACCATGTGAAGAGAGCTTCCAAAGTTCATCCTCAAGAGGGTCTTAAAGAGAAAGATAGAATTGACAGATTGCCTGGACAACCTCAGGTTAAGTTTTCTCAGTATGGTGGTTATGTTACTGTTGATAAATCTGCTGGTCGTGCTCTTTATTATTACTTTGCTGAAGCTCAGAAGTCTAAGGAGTCATTTCCTCTTCTTCTTTGGCTCAATGGAGGTAAGAAACAGACTGTCCATTTTTGTTTCTTTCTTAATTTCTTGAAGTATTATTTGACATTATCATCATCAATGTGAATGATAATATTATTTGCTAAAAGTTGTGAAAGTCAGTAGTCTTCTTCTCTCTCTTCTCAAATTCCCATCTAACCTGGCAACAAAATTGCATGATTACTCCTTGTTCTATTAGGTAGGAAATATTAATCATTTTTTTAGATGATGTTGATATTAATATTCTAGCCTAGTTTTAATTATTTTATTTTATTATGATGTTGGCTGTCTTATCTTTTCTCTTTTTGTATATAATTATATATAAATTCAAGGCCCACGTTTCTGATTTCTTCTCCACAAGTGGTGCATATGTGCCTGAGTTTCAAATCCCTGGCTTCACTCCCATGGAGGATTTGCTGGAGTGCATGCAGTCACCACCGCTATTTAAAAAACTATCAGACAGAGAAAGAGAATTACATTGAAGGCAACACAATAAATAAAGAATTCAGATCAACTTACCCATATGTTTATTTAACTTTCATTGGGAAAGGGAACTCTTGCATGCTGTCACACTTAATATATAATATGGGTTTTGTGAAACACATAACATAAAATAAAATAGTAATCTGGAACATGTTGCTTCTGGTGACTACTCTTCTTTAATTATTTGACACTGATGTAGCTTAATTTTTATGTGTATTTTCAGGTCCTGGTTGCTCTTCTCTTGCCTATGGAGCAATGCAAGAACTTGGACCATTTAGAGTCCACAGTGATGGCAAAACACTGTACAAAAATTTATACTCATGGAACAATGGTATATATGCTTTTTCTTCTTTTTATACTGATAATTAATGTATATTCCAAGTACATTTACTTTATTAACTTTTTTTTTATTTATTTTTTGGGTGAAGCTGCAAATGTTTTGTTTCTTGAGTCACCAGCTGGGGTAGGGTTTTCGTACTCTAATACAACTTCAGATTACAATGAGAGTGGAGATAGGAAAACAGCTGAAGATAGTTATGTGTTCTTGGTGAATTGGCTGGAGAGATTTCCTGAATATAAAGACAGAGATTTTTATATAGCTGGTGAGAGCTATGCCGGGCATTATGTACCTCAACTTGCACATACTATTCTCTCCCATAACAAGAAGACAAACATGACCATCATCAACCTCAAAGGAATTATGGTATCGATCTTCTCTTCTTCTTCTTCTTCTTCCATTTCTCTCTCACACACATCACACCGACAGTCAATCAATTCAATAAAATTGGAAACTTGGAGTACTCTATGGCACATAAGGTTATGTTTGCTAGATACCCTTTTCTTTTCTTTGTTTGCTTCTTTTCAAAGAGTTGAATGATTGATGCTTAGAATTTGGATGATTGCCCCCCCCATGTGAGCTAGCTTTTCATTTTTCTTTTGGGCTGCATTTACTCTTTTATTCAAATTCTCATTTATTTTCTATTTGTAAATAGTAATTTGATATAATTGACGCTCATATTGCGTTAATACTTAAAAACTAGCAATATTAACTATGTTTTGCTTCATTAATTATCAGTTGGTGTGACTTCTCTATGCATATTAAAGCCATACATATTAAAGACAAAGCCTGCTTACTAGATATGGTGTATCTTGAAGTGAAATAACATTAATTCGATTTAAACATTTTACACTTTTTTCTCATGATTAACATGTATAGATGCAAAGCATAATCTATTTGATCTTTATACATCAAAGTTAATTTGGGTTGTATAAAGTAAACCAGGCTGCTATGGGGTCCTCTTTGGTCCAGCTAGCAAGTCCCCACATTCACACACTTAGTTCCCTGTTCGGGAAACAGTTTTGTTGAATCCATTTTGATTCCAATGATGACGGAAACTTAATTTTCTTTCTCAATAACAAATTAATCAAATATATGCAGATTGGGAATGCTGTGATCAATGATGAAACTGATGTTAGAGGAATGTATGAGTACTTCAAAAATCATGCTCTAATTTCGTATGAAGTTGCAGATCAAATCCAAAAATCCTGTGATTTTTCATCCAATGCCTCAAATCAATCCGATGACTGCGATGCAGCCACTCAAGTTGTTAACCAGAACATTTACTATCTGGACATATACAACATCTATGCACCCTTATGCGTTCATTCCAATCTTACTGCCCACCCCAAGAGGGCCTCAGTAAGTTAACATCAGCTAAAAGTTTCCAATCAAACAATTCTGAAACTCAAGAAATTGATTGATTAATTGGGTTGTGTGCAGATCATGAATTTCGATCCATGCAGCGATTACTATGTGTATGCTTATCTAAATAGGCCCGATGTTCAAGAAGCTATGCATGCAAACGTCACAAAACTTGGCCATGACTGGGAGCCATGCAGTGACATCCTTCAAAATTGGAATGATAGCCCTTCAACAGTTACTCCTCTTCTACAAGAGTTGATGTCAAACGGGCTTCGAGTCTGGATATTCAGGTAAATTAAAACCATTAATTTTAGTTAAATTTCTCTATCGGATTCCAGAGGATATAATCATTTGTTTGTCAGTGGATGGGATAATGATAATAAAGGCTAAGGCTAACTTTGCTATGAAAACAATTGGCCCCAAGCTTTTCATAGATTTCATCTCTCTGCACTTCTACTTTTGTGGAAAACGTGCATGTATAGGTCCCTCATTTGGCTGTTCATCATTAAAAGTGTAATGGATCAAAGTCAATTTCATAACATAAAATATTGATTATTGCCATATGGGTTGAGGACTTTACTGCAGCTACCATATGATAGAAAATAGAATTATTCATTACTCAACCCTCTTTTTATATGTACATTCATTCTATCTTAATTTTGACGAATCTTTCCTCTGATGGAAATTTTGCAGTGGTGACACAGATGGAAGAGTGCCAGTTACTTCAACCCAGATGTCTATTAACACGATGAACCTTCCTATCAAAACTCCATGGCATGCTTGGTTTCATGGTGGCGAGGTAAATTTTACCTCCATTTCCTTAATCCTTTCTAAATTTCTGTGGCAAAACCCAACCCACAATGGACTGGGTTGGGTTGAGTTGGGCTTTATGGGTCCAATTGGGTTGAGTTTTGAAGGTTGATTGAGGGTTACCCAGTATGTAACACATCTAATGCATAGACATTAAAAACCTACTATAAACATATGAGATATGACATTGAATATGGAGATGACAATAATTATACTTTTGAGAGTTCATTTCTAGTTTTTGGAAATGTATCTTATTTTAAAAACAGATAAACGGGTTGGGTTTTTATATCCACTACCGGATCCAAACTGTTTGGTACAACCCGCATTCACGCAATTAGAGGGCGGATTGGGTTCAACTTGACTCGTTCAGTTCAAACTGACGGATACCCAATCCGCGGATTTGGCTTGACATTCTTACTTAAGAATTTTTTTTTTTTTTTGGTTAATAATTTATGATCTTAATTCAATGTTGTGTTTGTGTTGACAGGTTGGTGGATATACACAAGTGTACAAGGGAGATTTGACATTTGCCACAGTGAGAGGAGCTGGGCATCAGGTGCCAAGCTTCCAGCCCAAGAGAGCACTTTCACTCGTCTCCCACTTCCTTAATGGCTCACCCCTTCCCAATACTTCAAGATACACTAATTAATTCAGCTTCATTATGATTATATATAGCTTCATATGTTTGAGCATTTCCATTGTTTTACCAGGACAGGAAAAGAAAGAAAAGCCTGATTTAAATAGGGGATTAGGATTTAGCATAGTTGGTAAATCTCTTATTGGAATTGGTAATTTTATCTCTTAATTTGTTTCTTGTCAATAATTTCCAAGTAATAACAATATATTAATGGCATATATATATCTCAACCTTATCATAATAACACAGTGTCCCAAAAGATTCATGCCAGTCAAACTTTTAGCAAATATGACAAACACTTGGCAACTTGGAGATCACATTTCATCATCCACCAAACCCCTGAAGAAATCATTCACGTGAAAGACTAGACAACCTGGGGTTGGTCCAATTCCTGATTTCCAGGGACCTTAATGGGGGTTGTAAACTTGTAATGTATAAAAAAGTCTATGGGGGTTGGCTTGTGCGGGGGTTGAGATTGGTTTAGTATATATAAACATATCAAGTAGAGCTAGGACAATTGTGTTAAAAACATCACCCACAATGTTGCCCAGGATCTTCTTTGGTTCCGTTTTTAGCATCCTGGAGGGTTTTTACTACTTGATGATGATCATTCCCTTGTTCATCAATCAAGCCTTCCATTAAAAGCCATCATGAAACTGGCCTCCTGCATCTCTCACAAGCCGTCTTATGCAGTTTCTGGCAGGTGTTGAACTTTTTTTCTTCTGAGACTTAGAGAATTTTCTTGGGTACAGAACCAATCTTTTTGTTCCACCCATACTGTGAGTATTAATTCTGAAATTGTGCAATTAATGGTCTTCAATTTTTTAAGAGTGATAGGAAAATAGTCTCGGATTGAGCAGGACAGAAAGAAACAACCATTGAAGTCCAAAGACTCAAAAGAAGCCAGTTCCATCAGGTGCAGCTGGAGATCAAGGCCTGGACATTTACTGATCGTCAGTTGTTTAAGAGCATTGCCGAATGGCATGCATACCAGCAAGTATGCCAAAAAAGAGTTGCCATCGATTTCCAAGCATTCAAGACTCTCACATGCTGGGACATGCAGATCAAGATCCAGTGGACAAATTATGTGGGGCAATATGCAACGTTCATATTCTTCCTCTTCCATGATCGTAAGGAATATCAGAGTTTTTCGTCCTGCTGCATGAAAAAAGAAAAAATTCAGCGCTACAAATATACTACTTGCGTATTAAAGAATGCGACACTGATTTTTCTTTCCCAATTTGCTGATTTAGCATGTGCCACAGACCACAGTTAGGTGAGGTATGTTGTAGACTTGTCCACAGTATATTGAATAGATTCTATTCAACCTCAGTGACACAGGGGAGGAATATGAATTCGAACAATAGGAATAAGATGAACACAAACAGTGGGCATTACCAATATCCTTGTAAAAGTCTGCAGTGAAATATGCTTTCCACCTACACCAAAAGAATAATTGTTCAGAATGGCTGTAGATAAGTATGATGACATAACCAATCTACCAAAATTTCATATAAGAAGAATAAACAACCTTGGCAAACATGTATCATTCACCTCAGAAAACTACATCAATTTGGAAATAATTTTTTTAAAATCCAACAAATATTTTGCGTGAAAGAATAAAAAACCTTGGCGTGTCCAATTTTGATTTCCAGATCTCATGAATGATTTTATCTCAATTAAAAATATAATTATGGGGTCTGATCAGCTTGTGCTCTTATCTAAACATCAACAATTAGGTAGAATTTACTGTGATATACCAACACTGAAAATGTTGTCAAGAATCATTTTTGGTTCGATGGTAAGCATCCTGGTGGGCTTTTACTACTTGATTGTGCTCATTCCCTTGTTCATCATTGAAGCCTTTCATTAAAAATTTAAAACCAGAAGTTTAGCTTCTCTCTTATCATTTATATCTCTTCCTCCTTCTCTCACAAGATGTACATATCATGTCGTCTTACGCAGTTTCTGGCAGGAATATAACTTTTCTGAGACTTCAGAATTTTCCTGGGAACAGAACAAACTGCATGTTGTTTGAATACTGGTATAAATATTTGAGTGGTCGTTTATCATTCGTTTAGTGAACGGTGAATCAGCGTGATATGGTTCCACAGGAATCAATTAACAATCAGATTCAGAAAACCATGAAGAAGACAGATGAAAAAGTTTCGAGCAGCACAAGTCCTTATCAAGCTAGCAGGCGTGGAACCAGCAGCTGGCCCAAGTCCCTATCAAGTTAGTAGCCATGGACCAGCAGCTGGTCAACTTACCTAACAATGAGTTGCCAAGCTACCAGCCCAAGAGAGCTCTTTCACTCGTCTCCCACTTCCTTAATGGCTCAGCTCTTGCCAACACTTCAAGATACACTTAATTAATTTACTTTCTTTATGACACATTATATATAGCTTCATATTCTTTCAGCATTTCCATTGTTTTACCAGGAAAGAAAAGAAAAGCCTGGTTAAAATAGAGATTAGGATTTAGCATAGTTGATAAATTACTTATTGGAATTGGTGATTTTATTTCTTATTTTGATTAATGTCAATAATTTCAACCTTATCATAATAAACACAGGTGTCCCAAAAGCTTCAAGGCAGTCCAACTTTTAGCATAATGACAAAAACTTGGACTAATTTGGAGATTACCTTTGATTATTCAAACAAACGTGTAAAAATATTTTTCCAACACAAAGAAATACAATTTATAACGTGAAAGACTAGACAACCTAGGGGTGGTCCAGTTCTTGATTATTCAAACAAACGTGTAAAGATATATGGGGGGTTGTATGGTGTGCTGGATGTATTTATACAAAAATTTATATGGGGGTTGAATTGTGCTGAGATTGAGATTGATTTGTCATGGATATATATAAACATATCAAGCAGTGGCTAGGATTATTGTGTTAAACATCACCCACAATGTTGCCCAGGGTGTTTTTTGCTTCCATTTTTAGCATCCTTGAGGGCTTTTACTACTTGATTATGATCCTTCCCTTGTTCATTAATCAAGCCTTTCATTAAGCCCCATCATCAAACTGGCCTCCTTCATCTCTCACAAGCGGTCTTATGCAGTTTCTGGCACGTATATGAAACTTCTTGTTATGCCTCAAAAGTCAAGCCTATGTCAGCACAATTAATGTCTCTTTGTACCAGCTGCCAAGCCCATATCTCCAAAGATATTCTCACCAACTTTATCTCATTTCAAAGAGATGAATGGACGAGAGCCTTCCATGTGTCAAGGCAGTTTGCTAAAGCTCTCATTACATTGAGTGCAAATGTGAATAAATAGATTTTTCTCTTCCTGAAGAAGAGAGGCTGGTGGCTGGGCTGAGATTTAGCTTCAATTCTTTCTCTTTGTAAAAACACTGTATTTCTTCATCTTTGTATGCCTTACGGGCAAATTCATAGAAATAGTGAGAGATCAAATAAAATAACAGTGGATGTAGGAGTCGCTTGTTGCATCCGAACCACTATAAAAACCCCTCTTGCCAATCTTTTATTTATTTTTTCTACAAAATATATAATCTCAGCTCCATATTCAAATCTCATGGATCCATCACGTGTGTCTCCTGAGTCAGCTCAGCGTTTCCCACGTGCGAGTCGTTGGCGTCCAAAATCAAGCGTCAACACTTCTTTTTTCTGAAAACTTGAGAATTTTCATCAATACCGTAATCACTAATTCTGTATTTGTACAATTAATGACCTTCAATTTTTTAAGTGTTATAGGAAAATAGTCTCGGATTGAGCAAGAGAGAAAGAAACAACCATTGAATTCTAAAGATTCAGGAGAAGTGAGTTTCATCAGGTTAAGCTGGAGATCAAAACCTGGACATTTCTTGTGTTAAGTTATAATCCCACCTACCTAAAAGTTCAAGCTTGTATGTGAGGGTTTAACATCTATTAGACCAATATATTGATAGTCAGTTGTTTAAGAGCAGTATCAAATGGCTTTTATTCCAATTTCCAGCAAGCATGCCAAAAAAGAATTTCTGTTGATTTCCAAGCATTCAAGCTCGCCTGCTGCATATTCAACATACATATTCTTTTTTCCTAATGGTTATCTTCACCCAATGCATCTCTTTCAATTCACTCTAAACACATGGATATAATAATGAATATTAGAAAAATGTTAAGAATAAAAACATGTATAGAAATAGTACTTCAAAACATGTATAGAACAATTGATGTGAATCACGAAACACATAAGTCGATACAAGATTTCGGTGTAAAAAGTCGATATCCGCATTAAAAACTTTTTTAAAATTAAAAAAAATAAAAATGGAATAAAGGATATTTATAGAATTTATGAGGCGCCGTAAAAAATAGCAGGTGCCAATGCCAAAAAGCTCCACTCAGTTTATATATAATATACCGATATCTCCAAGTTTTTCCACTTAGCAGCCCAACTCAAGAGCCCATAACATGGGCCAAGCCTACAAAATCCACTCCTGACACCATTGACTCTTCTCTGTCACCACAAAAACCAAATCGGACAAACCCTAACCTAAACCCCAAAAAGACGATCACAATCTCAATCAAGAGAAACAATGGTGTGTATACGTAAGGCTACCGTAGATGACTTACTTGCAATGCAAGCTTGCAACTTGTTCTGTCTGCCGGAGAACTACCAGATGAAGTATTACTTTTACCACATCCTTTCGTGGCCGCAGCTCCTCTACGTGGCCGAAGACTACAACGGACGTATTGTTGGTTACGTGTTGGCCAAGATGGAAGAAGAAAGCAATGAGTGCCATGGCCATATTACGTCACTCGCCGTGCTTCGTACGCATCGCAAACTGGGATTGGCTACCAAGCTCATGAGCGCTGCCCAGAATGCCATGGAACAGGTTAACTTTTTTTTTTAGATTATGTTTCTTTTGTCGTAAAATTAATGATGTTTTAGTTTTGATGCTGGATTTGAGTTTATTATCATTTTAAGCCTATTCTTATTTTAATTATAGAAAAATTAGTGCTTTTTTTTTTTTTTTGTTTTTTGTTTTTGGTGGTGGTGGTGTTCAATCTGAATACTTGGGCAGCTTAAGATGATTTTTCTTCAATTGCTTTTCTTGCTTGTAAATGAAAACTTTGGTTAACGTTTCAGTGCCTGTAAGGATGGTGCTGGGAAAACAATTTCCGAAAACTAAGGTGAAATTAAGAACTCTGAGTTGCATCTCAATATTTTTTAATATCAGAAAGTGTGTGATATGGTATTCAAAAATTGTTTTTAGAGTTTAAAAGGAATTAAAAATATATATATATTTTTTGGATTATACCCAAAAAATGTTTTTGAAAACATTTTAACTAGACACTATTTTGTATAATTGCTTGTATCGCTGGTTTTGGGCTATGAGGAATTCTATTTAAATTTCATATCAAGAACCTGCTTAGCTTCTCATAGTTAATTGCCTTATTTCAAAATGCTAATTAAATGTTAAAATGATTTTGAAAGTTAATTTAATCTCCTTGAGGCAAAGCCTTAGTTTCTGTAGTCATTTAGCTCAGGGGATAAACTTAAATAACTAAAAATTAGCAAACAACGTAGGTGACATCAATTATTATATTACTTATTTTTAAAGTGATGTGGTGCAGGTTTTTCAATACAATGGTGACAATGGATTTAATGTTAAATTATTTGGGAAATCTGGCTGTGAGAAGAATGAAACTGGTCCTCATGTGGGCATTGATATAGAGGAGGAGGAAGAAGTGGAGGAACACGAAATTACTGATGTAGGTACTGATTTTGATGATGGTCATGGTAGTGACAGTGAATATAATGTTGAAGAAGAAGAGGAGGAGGAGGAGGAGGAGGAAGAAGAAAAAGCACCAGAAGGAACAGCTACATTGAAGCAGAGAGGCAAAAGGATTTGTGAAAATACTATTATATTTTTCAAGTTCCCTTCCTGGCTAGCTTTCTTGGTTGTGAAACTTCTCCATTAAAACATTATTCGTTTACGATTCCTTATAAACAGCTAGTTTTTGGATCCAACTTCAATTATTCTATTATTTTTTCCTTCTATTTATACTGAAGATAAGCAAGAGAAAGGATCAAATTAACACAATGGAGAAGAGACTTTTCAGTAGTTTCTTCTCGTTGTGTTGTTTCTGGTAGGTGAGAGTCATTGCAAGAAACAGGCAAGCAACTTGGCCATTCTACAACGTTAAGTTAAGGAGAATTCTGGATTGATACGAGTCTCTTTGAGGGAATTCCACCATGTGAAGAGAGCTTCCAAAGTTCATCCTCAAGAGGGTCTTAAAGAGAAAGATAGAATTGACGATTGCCTGGACAACCTCAGGTTAAGTTTTCTCAGTATGGTGGTTATGTTACTGTTGATAAATCTGCTGGTCGTCTCTTTATTATCTTTTGCTGAAGCTCAGAAGTCTAAGGAGTCATTTCCTCTTCTTCTTTGGCTCAATGGAGGTAAGAAACAGACTGTCCATTTTTGTTTCTTCTTAATTTCTTGAAGTATTATTTGACATTACATCATCAATGTGAATGATAATATTATTTGCTAAGTTGTGAAAGTCGTAGTCTTCTCTCTCTCTTCTCAAATTCCCATCTAACCTGCCAACAAAATTGCATGATTACTCCTTGTTCTATTAGGTAGGAAATATTAATCATTTTTTTAGATGTTGATATTAATCTAGCCTAGTTTCAATTTTTTTATTTTATTATGATGTTGGCTGTCTTATCTTTTCTCTTGTTGTATATAATTATATAAATTCAGGCCCACGTTTCTGATTTCTTCTCCACAAGTGGTGCATATTGCCTGAGTTTCAAATCCCTGGCTTCACTCCCATGGAGGATTGCGGAGTGCATGCAGTCACCACCGCTATTTAAAAAACTATCAGACAGAGAAAGAGAATTACATTGAAGGCAACACAATAAATAAGAATTCAGATCAACTTACCCATATGTTTATTTAACTTCATTGGGAAAGGGAACTCTTGCATGCTGTCACACTTAATATAATATGGGTTTTGTGAAACACATAACTAAAATAAAATAGTAATCTGAACATGTTGCTTCTGGTGACTACTCTTCTTTAATTATTTGACACTAATGCAGCTTAATTTTAGGTGTATTTTCAGGTCCTGGTTGCTCATCTCTTGCCTATGGAGCAATGCAGAACTTGGACCATTTAGGTCCACAGTGATGGAAAACACTGTACAAAATTTATACTCATGGAACAATGTATATATGCTTTTTCTTCTTTTATACTGATAATTAATGTATATTCCAAGTGCATTACTTTATTAACTTTTTTATTATTTATTTTTTGGGTGAGCTGCAAATGTTTTGTTTCTTGAGTCACCAGCTGGGGTAGTTTTCGTACTCTAATACAACTTCAGATACAATGAAAGTGGAGATAGGAAAACAGCTGAAGATAGTTTAGTGTTCTTGGAATTGGCTGGAGAGATTTCCTGAATATAAGACAGAGATTTTTATATAGCTGGTGAGAGCTATGCCGGCATTATGTACCTCAACTTGCACATACTATTCTCTCCCATAACAAGAAGCAAACAAGACCTTCATCAACCTCAAGGAATTATGGTATCGATCTTCTCTTCTTCTCTTCTTCCATTTCTCTCTCACACACATCACACCGACAGTCAATCAATTCAATAAATTGGAAACTGGAGTACTCTATGCACAATAAGGTTGTTTGCTAGATACCCTTTTCTTCTTTGTTTGCTTCTTTCAAAGAGTTGAATGATTGATGCTTAGAATTTGGATGATTGCCCCCCCCATGTGAGCTAGCTTTTCATTTTTCTTTTGGGCTGCATTTACTCTTTTATTCAAATTCTCATTTATTTTCTATTTGTAAATAGTAATTTGATATAATTGACGCTCATATTGCGTTAATACTTAAAAACTAGCAATATTAACTATGTTTTGCTTCATTTCTGCTGGTGTGATTCTCTATGTATATTAAAGCCATACATATTAAAGACAAAGCCTGCTTACTAGATATGGTATATCTTGAAGTGAAATACCATTAATTCGATTTAAACATTTTACACTTTTTTCTCATGATTAACATGTATAGATGCAAAGCAAATCTATGATCTTTATACTCAAAGTTAATTTGGGTTGTATAAAGTAAACCAGGCTGCTATGGGGTCCTCTTTGGTCCAGCTAGCAAGTCCCCACATTCACACCCTTAGTTCCCTGTTCGGGAACATTTGTTGAATCCATTTTGATTCCAATGATGACGGACTTAATTTTCTTTCTCAATAACAAATTATCAAATATATGCAGATTGGGAATGCTGTGACAATGATGAAACTGATGTTAGAGGAATGTTGAGTACTTCAAAAATCATGCTCTAATTTCGTATGAAGTTGCAGAACAAATCCAAAAATCCTGTGTTTTTCATCCAATGCCTCAAATCAATCCGATGACTGCGATGCAGCCACTCAAGTTGTTAACCAGAACATTTACTATCTGGACATATACAACATCTATGCCCCCTTATGCGTTCATTCCAATCTTACTGCCCACCCCAAGAGGGCCTCAGTAAGTTAACATCAGCTAAAAGTTTCCAATCAAACAATTCTGAAACTCAAGAAATTGATTGATTAATTGGGTGTGTGCAGATCATGAATTTCGATCCATGCAGCGATTACTATGTGTTATGCTTTCTAAATAGGCCCGATGTTCAGAAGCTATGCATGCAAACGTCACAAAACTTGCCATGACTGGGAGCCATGCAGTGACATCCTTCAAAATTGGAATGATAGCCCTTCAACAGTTACCCTCTTCTACAAGAGTTGATGTCAAACGGGCTTCGAGTCTGGATATTCAGGTAAATTAAAACCATTAATTTCAGTTAAATTTCTCTATCGGATTCCAGAGGATATAATCATTTGTTTGTCAGTGGATGGGATAATGATAATAAAGGCTAAGGCTAACTTTGCTATGAAAACAATTGGCCCCAAGCTTTTCATGATTTCATCTCTCTACACTTCTTTGTGGAAAACGTGCATGTATAGGTCCCTCATTGGCTGTTCATCATTAAAGTGTAATGGATCAAAGTCAATTTCATAACATAAAATTGATATTGCCATATGGGTTGAGGACTTTACTGCAGCTACCATATGACAGAAAATAGAATTATTCATTACTCAACCCTCTTTTTATATGTACATTCATTCTATCTTATTTTGACGAATCTTTCCTCTGATGAAATTTTCAGTGGTGACACAGATGGAAGAGTGCCAGTTACTTCAACCCAGATGTCTATTAACACGATGAACCTTCCTATCAAAACTCCATGGCATGCTTGTTTCATGGTGGCGAGGTAAATTTTACCTCCATTTCCTTAATCCTTTCTAAATTTCTGTGGCAAAACCCACCCCACATGGACTGGGTTGGGTTAGTTGGGCTTTATGGGTCCAATTGGGTTGAGTTTTGAAGGTTGATTGAGTTACCCAGTATGTAACACTCTAATGCATAGACATTAAAAACCTACTATAAACATATGAGATATGACATTGAATATGGGATGACAATAATTATACTTTTGAGAGTTCATTTCTAGTTTTTGGAAATGTATATTATTTTAAAAAGGGATAAAGGTTGGGTTTTTATACCTACTACCCACCCAAACTGTTTGGTATAGCCCGCATCCCCCAATTAGAGGGCGGATTGGTTCAACTGACTGGTTCGGTTCAAACCTACAGGTACCCAATCTTGCGGATTTGGCTTGACATTCTTATTTAAGAAATGGTTTTTTTTTTTTGTTATATTTCTTATCTTACTTCAATGTTGTGTTGTGTTGACAGTTGGTGGATATAACACAAGTGTACAAGGGAGACTTGACATTTGCCACAGTGAGAGGAGCTG